ACCTTTTTCCACTAGATTTTTAGCTAATCGTTCTCGGACATTTCGTAGTTGGTAGTGCAACTTCAGCGGGTTCCAAGTTTCACCTGAAAACACAAGCAAAAAACCCAGCAGTCACAGAAAGTTTAGGCAGCGACTCCCCCCCAAGCCCCATGGTGCAGAATCTGTCAAATTCATAGAGCTGACTATGACACTAACCACTATTTCTCTGGTCTCTGACCTAACCAGATATAGGCATAGATACAACGACCACAGGAGCCTCCTTGAAGGAACCTCAGTGCACATTTGAAGTCTGGGCAAAATGCTAGCTAAGTCATGTCTTACGTTTATGACACATAAGCAGTCTTGTACTGAAGAAAAAAAATCAAAACAAAAACAAACAAAAACCCAACAAAGACCCAAAACAATCACAAATAAGGAGTTTATTTCTAATAATAAAATAAGCATATCCTCCAATCTTGTGCATTTGTCTGCTTCCAGCCTTTTATCGTTTCAGATTCTGGAAGACGTGTCATTCCTTTTTTCTGCCACCAACATGAGCTGATGCACGCCTACCCTACGCATGTCTCCATTTCTCCAAGCTTTCATTCTGCTCTCCCTTCCTGCCCTCACCAGGTGAAACAGTGACCACGCACGGTGTGAGTGTGGGGGATGCGTGTACAGACCAGTATATGTTTGGTAGGGACTTGGATGCTTCTATAGAAATGATTTCTAATTTTTTTTTTGTTGAGGCAGGAGAACTAGGCACTTTGAAGTGCACAATACATGTGCACACAGAGGAACGAATTTAAAAAAGCACAAAATCGGCATCAACAGCTACTGATAAAGCTAAATTGTTAAGCACTGTGAAATCTGCCTTTGCTTAAGAGTTTACTTACGTTAAAAATTTTAGATCCAGCCTACCTAAGTATTTATCATAAGTATTAAAATCCCATCCTGATATCAAAGAGTCTATGCATTTTAAAAAGCAAGAGAAGAAACAGCATTAAGTATTTCTTAAACAGGTGTGGTTTTCTATAAATTATATGACAATTTATCAATTTGTTTCTATATCATAAAGCTTTTTAAAAATTCATTGGTTAACATATATTACTAATAACATCACCAACACCACAGATGACTTTAAGGTTTCTCCCACTATGATAGGGGGTGACATACTGTGTCAAAGCAACAGTCAAATTAAATAAACAAATGAGGTGGCACCAGCTGCATAGTGAAAGGCAGGAAACCCACCCAGGCCTGAACTACTGAAGTACTTACAGGTCCACACCTCACTGGATGTGATCCCCTAGCTTGACCGTGAATGAAACTCACACACACGAGAGCAGTTTCCTTACAGCATTTCACAGGGCAAAGGCTATTTCCTGGGTTTTTCCACATTTGATAAGCAGATGTAGCTATGCAGTAATAAACATCAGGACTGTGGTGACACCTTGTGACCAGTCTCCTCAATTACACAGATATTTGGTTGTTCAAAAGGTTTGTTACATTTACAGGAAGACCTGACATTTTGATCCAAATTTCTGTGTTCCCTATATTCGCTTCCCTTAGAGGCTATCTTATAAACAATATCAGCCTGATAAACATCACCTTACACATCGACATAACTATTTCCATGATGGCTTTGAACTCATGTACTGTAGATTCAAGCAGCATTCTTTGCATCACTGATAATTGCACAGAGTAGCTATTTTCCAGGATCAGTCCCTACATCAAAATTCTAGATGAGTTTATTAAAAACAAACAAAAAAAACCACAAACCAAACACAAACAACCACAACAACACAAGCACCAAGACCCCCCACAAAACACCAAAATATTTTTCTTCAACTGGCAGTCCTCTAAACTGTGGGAAATACGAAGGACCTTAGTGCCATCCAAGGACTACTGATTAATAACCATATGGAAGGAAAAACAGCTGATCCAAGTCTCAGCCCCAGCACTGACCATCACTATGTTCCCCGAGCCAAAGCTCAGCAGGGTCAGGAAATCCTTCACTTAGCTCAAAGAAAACCTGCAACAATGTTCATTCATTAGCTGACCTTTTTTGAATCAGCAGTAACTTGATGTGCTGTGCACTTGGAGAGAAGGTGAAATGTCAGCACAAATTACATACTGGGGACAAGAAAGAAGAATTGGTTTTACAGGCTGCAAAACTGAAGGAGAGCTGAGCAAGAACTGAACGGCAAGGCCACGCAGCAGCCATGCCCCCTACTGACAAAGGGCTGCTCTGTTCTCCTGTCCCTCCTGTCCCTCCTCTGCCCGAGAGACAAGGAGCGAGGGAAGGCATGGCAAGGACAGCAGTATAAACTGATGTGCAAGGAGGGCTGCTGAAGGTGGTACAGGCTGCACGGGAAGGACTTAATGAAAACAAGAAGGCAACAGAAAGGTAGAGATTTTGTTCATTTTTGAAACTGTTACTTATCAGCTGTTAAAGGTAACAGATTTAGACAACTTCAAGTCTCCTTACACTCTATCCTCCTAGAGTCATGTTGACAAAACAGTTTTTTTCCTGCAGTCTCTGTGCAGTTGAAGTACAGCTCTGATTTGGTCCAAGAATTTTTTTGCATTTTTGTAAAAACAGAAAAACCCTGGTGATAAATTCTGGCTACAGAAAAAAACCCAAACCTTCAACGACACAACAAATGCACTACATCTTAAAAGATGGTCCTTGTTAATGTAATTTTATGTATCCTGAGAATACAACTGTGGGTGAGGCACATGAAAAATGTTAACTGCAACTGTAATGATGAAATCTAATGGACTTTTTCTGCAACAACTTACTAGCTTTACAGGAAGAGTTGTGTGCAAAGCACTCACCTTGAAGACTTGAACAACATGAGATATCTAACATCTGAAAATAATTACATTTTTCCAGTTAATGGAAAAAAGGTAGAACCCCTGGCTCTGCTTCCTTACAATAAATGGACAATAATCCTCAATTTTTACAAAGAGCTCACCACTCATATCTCCTCTCCTCATCAAAAGACCCGAGTACCAAACCCATGCACCTGTACTCCAAACTTCGCTAACCCCCACTTTCAATTACAGAGAAGGCAGTTGTATCTCCAGGGTACAGTCCTGATTTACTTCAGAGTCCGTAGAAGGCACCTCTTCCAGAGTTGAGATGTCCTCTGACACTTCCATATAGATCCTTTCTATACCAAGGTAAGTCAAAAGCATCAGTAACTTGTATGTGATTAAAGGCTACCATCAATAAGAGACTACCCTAGAGAACAGACTAATTAACTTTTTTACATACTTTCTCTCCCAAAATCTTACAGCATAATCTCTAGTGATGCCAGATAATTAGCTTTATTGGAGGAAAAAAGCAAATACATTATGTCCAAGGCTTACCGCTAAGCAGTTCAATCCAATTTTGTACTGTTTCAGGAGGCTGGGTCTCTTTTATGTGTTTCAGAGCTTCATCAAGCAGAACATCCCCTGTAGGAGCATCTGACTTGCAAATCACCTAGGACAGAGTAAGAAGCAGTCAGTATTTTGACTAAATTCACGTACCATAAATATCCACCAATAAAACCTGGAAAAATCTACCTGCCATCAAAACCAAGGAAATTTTTTAAAAAAATAAGGAACTGACTCAAAGCACATGCAACTTTCAAACATTACCTAGTTGTTTTAAAAAGTATCTATGATTTTAATTATAAAGCTAAATTAAGTCTTAGGTTATCTATAATTTAAATTAACCTTGACTAAAACTATAGCATTAATAGCATACTTAATATTTTAAGGAAGATAATTCACTAACCCAGTCAGCTCTTTTGTTTCCTCCCCAAAACAAAGTATATACTACAGTGTTAAGTTACTCTGATGGCAGTCTATTTTACTGCTTCAAGTCACTTTATTTGCTGTTAAACAATTAGCCATGTCAAACTGAGAAACCAGTTACAAACTGAAAAACCAATAAAACTATTTTTCTTCTTCCATTCATGGATAAAAGTAGGTGCAAGACAACATTAAAAAACTCATATATTAAAACGCATGTATTAGGCAAAATATGTACATAGTAATAAATCCCTTAATATGCAATAATAAACACAATATTATTTGTCTGTTACTTAGTAAACTTCTGAAATTTGAGCTCTCCCTCAACAGAACAAAAAGCCTTTTACAGTAACATAATAAAATTTAAGAATAGGAGTAACAGCTTGTTCACCAGTAGAAGTAGTTGTATAAACCATGTACCAGTAAATTTTTTTTCTGCTTAGAAAAACAAGAGCAGCAAACAAAGATATACAGAATAAATTAGACTAAGTCAATGTGCTTGAATAAAACCGAAGTAACAAAAAAATCTATCTTTCTTTAGTAAAAGAATTACTAGTTTCAAAGCTAGTTATGGAAATACCAATCAAACCTGGTAATTTAAGTAATTCTACAAGTTAGCACTTTATAAGCATCAGGTAAAAAGATAACAGGCAATTGACAGAAAAAAAACCAAACAGATATCAGCACAATTCCACATATACAAGAGAAGCAGCAAGTGAAAGCTCTTATTTTTCATTATACTACACAGCAGTAAGAAAAGTGTCCTGGAAAAACCTTAAGCGTCCTACTGAAATATATCCCAGATTTTGTTCTGTTGGTCAGTTCTAGTAAACTTTACTACAAGCAGTAGAGGAGTACAATACATCCTCCTATGTATGGTCTGTAGATGATGCTGACAAGAGATGCAGTTGTAAGACAGCTACAATGCTGGCAAGATGAACCAAAACTGGAGACATGCACAAAGCCAACGAGATTAAACGTAAGGGAAAATTGCTGGAGAGATCTTTATGAATACCTAACAGGTCATAGCTGGAATACTATTTCAAATTTAGATGGTATATATAAAGCACAATAACTAAGATTTTTAAATGGAAATCAACAAGAATGAAGCAGTCCACAATGCCAGGCTAAACTGAACAAGGTTTGTTTAGATCCAAGAAGAAGGCATGTGAAGTATGCTTACAAGGAGTGTATTAAACAGTAGTTCAGGGTGCTTGCTCTGGGAAAAATTAAAGATACCACCTTATTCTAGAAATAAGGAAGATGTAGGATGTACTGTCAAAAACATCAACAGGCAAATTAAACACCCAGGGTGGTGCTGAACTGCATTCAGTGGAGAACTTTAAAACTAAAAATCTGCCAGAGACGGACCAGAGAAGCCTCATTATTTGTTACTGCATCACGATTAAATTATTTCTTTAAATATTGTCCAGGGGAGCTGGAGATCACTCCAGCCACAAACCTCAGATACTTGGTTTTAAGAACACAGCTCCATTTTAATCCAGATAATTCTTATTTGAAATTGAACATACAACAATGCATATTTATCTCTGATTTACCAGCTTGCACCACGGTGTCACTCAAACTCCATTAGCCACATAAAATTATGTCTTCCAATTTTATATCAAGATTCTAAATTTTTAGACGTTTTCTGTTCTTTAATTATACAGAAGCATTCTTCAAGTTGGGTTTTTAAGCTGCTAGGCTGCTGCTATTAATAGCCACCTCTCAGATATTTCTTTAATAATCAGCCTAAAACCACCCAGCTTATTTAGCTTTACTTCTTTTTAAAACTGACATTCCAGCAGTTTCTTTGAAGCGTCCTGTGTGATCAGCTTCACAGTAGCCCCAGTTATACTGGATCACTCCAGCCTGCTGCAGCTGGTAACCCACTAGGCACCCTCTCACTTCAACAGCTAAAATATGAAGTCATTTTTTGACTCGTATATTATTATTTAAAAAAGCCCCAACAAACAAGCCTCACTGAAGAAAGGAAAAAATGCTTTTAAGTGTAGGATATACCTAAATTTTTTTTTTTAAATTTAATAAACAGCTTTCCTTGCTTATTTGAGGTTAAGATACTTTTTTCTACCTTTTCTACTTTTTAAGAAGCTAGCCTGAATATAAAGCACCATGACAATATGAGCCTAAACATACAAGCCTTTAGAAAAAAGCTGTCAGGAGCACTGACTCACCGTTCAGCTCAGTCAGGACTCCATGAGCTCTTGTGAAGCCACAATGCACAGTGATTTCGTTTCCAAGTTTACCGTTCTCTGCAACCAGGCATATGGCACTGTTCCTTCTCACTTCTGTTATACTGAGTAGTCACTGCACAGACTCTTCTTACTGTCCTTCCCCTCAAATGGAAGTATTTTGGATCACAGTTCTATGATATTTCTCTTGCCTTACACCTCCATAGCACAGGGAGACAGGCAACAGTTGAAGCCCAGCCTCTGCTCTCCTATCTTCACAGATCTGCTGTTTTTTGAAGGATTTATTGACGAATGATTCCTGGCTCTCCTCAGAGCCATAACAGCACAAGAAGAGCAGGAAATTGAGTGGGGGCCTTGTGAATTGAATCACCACACAAGACTAAGCATCCACAAAGGGGAACTTTTTTTCCCTAACAGAGGAGCCAATGTAAAGAAAGAAGTTAAATCCTGATTCTTCAGAGATGATGGGCCTTAGTCGTACTGCAAAAAACAATCTCTTTATTCCAGTTTTTCAGTGATTTAGCAGGTACCACATTTGCCTTTTATTAAACTGCTGAGGAAATTTCAATTATACAGACTATTTATTTTGCATTTTCCACCACGCAGCTTTGCAATTAAACAATGCTAAAGATTAAGCACTTCTTGCCCGGATTTTTAAGGAAATTTCATTATTTAGCTTTAATATAAAAATCCACTCATGCATGAATCACTCAGAATTGTCACCTATGACATACTGAAGTTAATCCACCAAGGATTTGTTTGGTTGTCTTTTAAGAACTCTGATGATTTTGTTTTCTTTTTGAGGGTTTAAGGCAGCACATAGTACTATCTTCTGCCTTCAGTAACCACTGGTTTTAGAAATCGCTTTATTTATATATAAATCTCAACAAGTATTACATAGTCTTAAATCAAACTGTGCTGGGTTAGCATCTGGCAGGGTTTTAGTAGGACAGGAGGGGCTACTTGGGTGGCTCTTGAAATACGCTTTTAGAGCTCTCCCAGCTCCAAGTCAGACCTGCCCCTGGCCAAAGCCCAGACAATCAGCACCTCCGTGATAACGTTAAGAAGGGAAAAACCTGCTGGGTAAGTTCCTGGAGAGAAGTGGGGTACGAGGGGAAACAAGTATGTGGACACTAAGCTCAGTGAGGAAGGAGGGAGAGGAGGTTCCATTAGGTCAGAAATTCCCCTTCAGCCCACAATGAAAATCATGGTCAGGCAGGCTGTCTCCCTGCAGCCCACGGAGGTTGGCAGCGGAGCAGATATGCACCTGCAGACTGTGGAGGTTAACAGTGGAGCAGATATGCACCTGCAGCCCACAGAGGTTAGCAGTGGAGCACCTGCACCTGGAGGACTCCACACCAGAGCAGGTGATCACACCAGCCATTACTCCCAGGGAAGTCCACAATGGAGCAGTCCAATGCTGGCAGGACAACACCCTGTGGAAGAGACTCACTGGAGCAGTTCATGAAGAGCAGTGGCCCATGGGAAGGACTCACACTGAAGACATCTGTGGAGGACTGTCTCCAATGGGAGCGACACCAGGCTGGAGTTCGGGAGAAGTGTGAGGAGTTTTCTTCCAGAGGAGGAGAGAGCAGCAGAGGATGTGTGATGAACTGACTGCAACCCCCACTTCCCACCCCTGTGCTGCTGCCTGGAAGTAAGTAAAGAAAACCAGAAGTGATATTAAGCCCAATAAGGGGAGAAGGCAGGGGGGAAGGTGTTTTAAGATTTGGTTGTGTTTCTCATTGTCCTACTCTGATTTGATTGGTAATTTGCTGGTGTTGTTTACAATAAATTGATGTTGCTTCTCCAAGTTGAGTCTGTTCTTTGCCTGTGAAAAGAATTGCTGAATTTGCCCTTCCTGTCCTTGTTTTGACCCTCCAGCCTTTTGTTATATTCTCTGCTCCCCATCCCACCAGGGAGGGGTAGGAGTTAAGTGGCTGCATGGTGCTTTGTTGCCAGCTGGATAGGCCTAAACCATGACACATTTACAAGGATGTCACAAAATAAAATATGTCATATTGACTTTCAAAGTTCCACTAATGTCCATCAAGTCCTTGTCTGCCACTTTCTCAGTCTCATTTCTCTATGGCATTCAGGCACGGATTTAATACCTCTTGATCTACAGTTCTGTCTTAGAAATTGCAAAAAATTATCAATTTTTTTATATAAATTGCAAAAATCCACCTGATTTAAGGCCTGAAGTGAAAAATCACTCTTTTAAATCAGCTGTATGACCAACACCACAGTTTAATTATAAACCTGTACTACTGCCCAAAGAACAAGTTCTACCCTCTTCCTGTTCTTACTTTATTGCTTGTGACAGCATTCTTGCCCCACATGATGACAAGATCAAAAAAGTGATTCAAGTAAAAACCAAGCTGATCAAACAAGTGAATTAGTTTTCAGTCAGAGGACTTATTACCTGGCAAGGCTGCACAAATGCTAGTAACAAGCCAAGAAAGACTCCTGTAAGCCTCTTTTTAAAGAAACAAGGACTAACCTTCTCAGCTGCTGTTTTATTCACCCAAACCTTAAGAAGAGTATTAAGGACACTTGCCAACAAAATCCAAGGATGGACATGGGGCAAGGAGAAAAAAGGCTAACCTGAAAGGCAGAAACTATTGAAAATGGTATTGCCATCGAATCACAACCTCGGATGCAAGTGGGCAGCTCTCTCCACTCACTAAACACAGCATTTCATTCACAGTGAAAGCTGAATGCAAGGGGGGCAATGCCTGCAAAAGGGACCAAGGAGGACACTTGGTAGAGTTGAGACACTTACATGTAGCTAACACAGAAACAAGAGAAATTTGGTGTTAATGCAAAACTTCAAGTAGCAAAAGTCATTCATGGGAAGGTGTAGGTGGAGAAAAAAAATTAATATATATCAGCAGTTATGGATTTGTTTTGCAAGAAATTACCTAAGCTAGAAACAATCTTCATTTCAACTTTAAAATTAAGCCTTTGTCACAGAGCCTTCCTGCCTGCAAAAAGAAGTCTCTCAATTGCCTCAACACCAGTAGGAACAAAAGCTTTAATACTGGCAAATTTTAGATCTCCCCCCTTCCCCTTGTTCAGAGAGAAGAAACAAACATTTACCCACCCCTGAAACCACATGATAAAATTCAACAAAAAAACCCCAACAAATCCCCTACAAAAGGCAATCATTTTGCCTATATTCCTTACTGAAGATAAACACAAGCTTTTCATTAAAAAAGAAAAAAAAGCTAAAATTTCAAGTAGACAGAGCTGACAGTGTTTGCACTAAATGAAAATAGCTGCTGAATATTATTCCTGAATGCCTAAGGAGCCAAAAGATTTGGAGGAAAAAACAAAAAAAAGTTATACAAAGTAATCAATGCTCACTATACTTAAATGAGACTAAAAGAAGGATAAGCTATTTGTCTGAACAGAGGTTTGATTCTTCCAAATGAGGGGGAAGCTAGGAGAAAGTTGGGGAATTTGTAAGCTCTCCTTTAAAAAAGTTTAGCAAAAGATAACATTGACAGGGAAACGTGCCACAGGAGAGAATTTATCTGTGGTGAAAACATTCAACCATGCTTTCAATCTTATTTTACAAATATCCTCTAATGATGGTGAAGCAAAAATTCTTCAAACAGTGTGACTTTGCACATTTTGTACAAAAGAAAAATCCAGCAGCAGCAGTAATAAAAGACCTCCAATCTTTAGCCTAATTCAATAAAGGACCTTAAAAATTTGCCTACCATAAAGGTCAGTGACTACAAATTTAACACACTGGTCACATGCTTGAACTAGATACAGTTTCATGTTCTCAGGGGCCCAAGGTACAAGGCCTGTTCCCTTCTTGCACACTGCAAGCACAAGGTGCAACAGTGTACACCAGAATTAAACCGGTGGCTTGCAGGATGCATCTGGCAGGCTGTCAGCCATCGGTCAGCCTCAGCCCGCATCTCACCCACACTCCAAAAGGCAGTTCCTCCAGCAGGCTACCGCTGGTGCTCCTGGCTCTGACAGTAACTGCCACCACCCCACACTGGCCCCAGGCGCTGCCAACTGCTTCTGCAAGGTCTGGAGGAACAGCAGGAACACATCAAGAGAACAAACAAGCACAGAGAAAACTGCAGGAGACTTTCCAAGGCACTTCAGCTGGCCATTTAAACACCTGTCGGTGTTTAGTCAGTATCCAGGGCTAAACTACAGCACTTGCTCTGTCACCTGATGACCCCTCAACAGGTGACAAAGTTGGGAAAGGGGATCAGGAAAAGGAGAGGAGAGACATGGGCTGAAGTGAAAACAGACTTAATGAAACAGTAAAACTAATGCTAATACTAATGCAAATATAAAGTACAGAAAGCAATAGTCAGCCCAATGAATGTATGGCAGTCACAAATGGGAAAGAAGGCCTCTGGAGGAGAATGGCAAGCAAGACCCTTTAGGGATACAGAGGAGCAGAAGGATAAGGAACAGAATCGGCCCCCTCCCCAGCAAACTTACCCCTTTAAGGTAAGTTTAAAGCCTACCTTAAAGCTTTAAACTTTACTCAAAGCTGTGACACACCTTTGAGCCAGCTCAGGTCAGCTGCCATGGGCTTTTGCCCCACAGCCCCCAGCTAAAGCTCTTGGTGATGAGAAACTGCTAACAGCCTGCATACCATGGCTGATCCTTCCATCCCAGCGAAACCAGGGCTTTTTTAACTGCACCTAACTTAAGCCACTACTTAGAATCCTTATCCCCATGTAAAGAGAAGAAAAAAATCAATCATTCTTACCACCAGTTGTAATTTATAGCTACTGTATTGCCTGGAGCATGACACAAAAGTAAATGTGATCATTTTCCCCCACTCACCTTCCTTGTTAATAGACTTTTGCGCCTCATGCCACAAGCCTCCAGCTGAAGACGCCCTCGTAATGCCAGTTCAATTAACATACAGCCACGCAGTCCTGAGGAGATGCAATCATTCCAGAAGGATGTGTAACCCTTCGAAGAACAAAAGACAGTAAGACATCTCAATTTCCACCTGAAAGCACATAGAAAAGAGGTTTACTGTGTTCTCTCAGCAGCTGTCCTGCCTTTATACACTTTTGAAGTTGTATCACTTGTCAACTGCCATTTCTGTACTGAACATGTGAATGAGAAACAGACTCATCCCATACTAGTCTCTGAAGAACAGGGAAACCTCAGGACAGTGATTCAAAATGAGTGAGGTACCAAAACTGTGAGATATAAGCTGCACTTTATCCATAGTCAAATTTACTGCATTTTTAAGACATCAGGTGCTTCAGATTACTGACATCAGGCAGGCTTATCTGAGTTTCCTCACAAATGGTCCTGAAAGCAGTAAAAACTTGAAAATCTATATAAAGTAAAATACGGAGTATTATGAAAACACAAATGTGGCAACAAGCACAAACTGCAGAACAGATTACTTTAGCTTGAATATAGTAAACCAAGAGACAAAAGTTTTAAATTAAATACATGGAAGAGCTGCTAGTTTGTAATTTAAAAAATTTGAAAAGTATTCTTAAAGCTTGATGCATATTGTTCTTATAAAGACTGCACAACTGTAATCCACATTCTGTAAACTACACCATACCTACCATGCTTTTTCATCTATAATTCTGCATTGATAGATGTCTGGTTAAATAGCAGAACAGAGCATTTGACCCAGTACATTTACTTGGTACCTAGAAATACATGTATTGACTATTGCATTCCATTGTGTGCAATTCTGAACAACAACAACAACAAAAAAAATTATAAAAAGGATTCTACTTTACCTTCAGCATAGCCAATAGTTCTTGCATATTTTTCCATATTTAAATATCTAACATAACAAAATCATGCTGAGAAATGTTTTGTCTTTCATGAAATGACTGCAGAAACACTTAGTATGTCCCAAAAAGCCCTTCCAAAACTACTCCAGTGATGCATCTCTGAAAATACTCATTTTGGGATACTATAGAAAAAAGTGTTGCAAACAAAAGGAGGCTGGGGGGACACACATACCCCCTTTCATAAAATTTATCTTTACCAATAACAAAGACCAGCTTAAATCAGAAGCGATACTACTTTATTCCTATTCACAGACAAAAGCTGCCAATGTATTGAGACACAAGATGTTCAAATATTAAGTCCACTAAACTTGAAATCAGTCCCTAATACATGCCATTAAACATAGGTTTCCAGTAACATAATATTTGTTTCCATTTAGCACTTGGCCATTTTCAAGAACCCTATTATATATGACCAATATTTTTGAGAAGTCTACATAAGCTCTGAATCTCTAGAAAGCAATTCTTGAAATACGTCACAGATACTTATTTAAAAGGCCATAAAAGACTAGGTTGGAAAAGCATCGAGAAGTTATCAAATCACCCTCCTAATTTTATAAAAGTCAGCCATTCTGTAAATTGATGTTTTAGTCAGCGTCAGGCATTTCTTTGGCAAAGAACATGTAAGATAAGGTGCAGTATTTGCTTGCTAAAAAGAAAAAAAGATACTATGCCTACGTTCTATTATCTCCAAATAGCCTTTTTACATAGTAACTTTTGAAATTGGATAACACAGTCAAACTGAAAATCTACTGTACAAACTTACAACTGTGGCATGGCAAATACATGCTTTTTTCTAGTCACAAAATAGTGTTATATTATTATGTAAACAAAGTGCTAGATTCCCCTCCCCCCGCTTTGTTTACTGATGAAAACTGAATGTCAAGTATTTTTCAGTTAAGTGACCTTAATTACACCACTCCTGGCAGCAATTACCAGATGTAAACTCTGCTCCAGCAGTTTTTCAACATATATAGCCATAGGCTGTAGGTTGCAAAGAAATAAGAGGATGACAGAATAATACACGTTGGAAGAGACCACAGGAGAACTCTAGTCCAACCTCATGCTGAAAGCAGGTTCAGCTATGAAGTCAGGTCAAGTTGCTCAGAGTTCTACTTGGGCAATTCCTGAAAATCTCCAAGCATGAAGACTGCACAACCATCCAACGTTTTTTAATCAAGCAATACTGAAAGGCAGCTCAAAAAGATTATATTTTTTCCTAAATGGAACTGCTTGCTCTAGTGATTAAAGTAATGAGAATGTATACTGTGTCACCACTGTCTGAGTTTGCAGGTGATCCACCAGAGAAGGAACATCGTATATCAGTACAAAGATTATACTGCTATTAACACAGTGAGGAAGGAGATATTTTAAAACATTCATTGTCATTCTGAACATTTTTCAATTCATTAAACTGATTCTTCCAGATAGTTCAGGCAGATGGAACTGAATTTTTTTAGCACTTGCTGCAAAGACCTCAGACAATTCAGGGAACCTTCACAGAAGGTCAGTTTAGCACTCATCAGTCTTTCTAAATCATCCTTGAAAATGAACTGAAACTTCCTGGTATAACTAAAAATTAGTAGAAGCAGACATTTATCTTTGACATTGTAAACAGCTTCTTGACACCTGCTTTAAATGGCATAAAACATGACCAGAAAAGGGTGCACAAAACAGAAAAAATGCTCAGCATTATAGTACTGCCCACTGAAGAGGTTACTGACCAACAGTAAAAAAAAAGAGGCATGAAAGGCATACAGAGAATAATACATGGACAGAAAGAATAGCAGTATAGAAAAATGTACTAAAAGGAAACTTTTCCACAGACAAGGACTAAAAGATGGTAAATTAAGATAGCTCACAGGCTAGAAAAGTCAAAGGCCAACTTTACTATGTTTTCTTTACTATGTTTCTATTCAACTTGCTTTTACAGGAAGGAAAAAGTTTTTTTAAAGTATCCTGTATAGAATGAGTGAAAGTTATAGGTGATTGATACATGAAATTTGACAGACAGCAATGGATCTGTAAACCTCACAGTCAGTGTATACTGGAGGAGGATTTGACATTCTGTGTACACCCATGCCCTGGTCAATGCTTATTAACACTATTCTCATAATTACTATAAATACCTAACTGTGTCAAAACACTTAGATGGATGTGCTGAGGGTTGGGAGACTCTGCAGAGGGGCCTGGACAAGCTGAATCAATGGGCTGAGCTCAACTGTATGACATTCAATGGGCCCAAGTCTGGCACTTTGGTCACAACAACCCCAGGCAACACTACAGGCCTGGGGAGGAGTGCTGGAAAACTGCCAGGCAGAAAGGGACCTGCAGGTGCTCATGGTCAGCCAGCTGAACATGAGCCAGCAGTGTGCCCCAGGTGGCCAAGAAGGCCAATGGCATCCTGGCTTGTATCAAAAACAATGTGGCCACCAGGAACAGGGAAGTGATTGTGCCCCTGTACTAGGCAGTGGTGAGGCCACATCTCGAGTATTGTGTTGAGTTTTGGGCACCACAGGATAAGAAGGACACTGAGGTGCTGGAGCAGGTCCAGAGAGGGGCAATGAAGCTGGTGAAGGGTCTGTGGAACATGTCCTGTGAGGAGCAGCTGAGGGAACTGGGGTTGTTTAGCCTGGAGAAGAGAAGGCTGAGGGGATACCTTCTTGCTCTCTACAACTACCTGAAAGGTTGTAGTGAGGTTGGTGCTGGTCTCTTCTCACAGGTTACTAGCAATAGGACAAGAGAAAATGGCCTCAGGTTGCAGCAGGGGAGGTTTCAATTGGATATTAGGAAGACTTTATTTAGTGCAAGAGTAGTGAGGCATGGGAACAGGCTGCCCAGGCATGTGGTGGAGTCATCATCCCTGGAGGGATGCAAAAAACCTGTAGGCGTGGCACTTGGGGACATGGTTTAATGGTCATGGTAATGTTGAGGGATGGCTGGACATGATGATCTTAGAGGTCTTTTCCAACCTTAATGACTCTACAATTAAATCAAAGATCGCTATTTATAGATGTGCATCATTCCACTACTTAATGCTCTCAGACAGCACTGGTTTTCTCACAAATACAACACCAAATATTTTTACTTCATCCATCTCCCTACAAGTTTTTTTTATAAACACCCTAACTCAGTAAAATACTTATTTCATTAAAGTTGCAAAGCAAGAGGGGAAAAAAGGTCTTACAAGGCAGGGAATTATTTTTGTCTGACAGCAATCACACTAGAATAGCACTTTAAGCTATGAATAGCTTGCAAGACAAGATCAAAAGAATGTTTACAACTGCCATGTTATTCACACAAACACATTAGAAAAGCATTTCTCATCAGAGCTGGCCTAGAAACTTGCAGGTAAAAAATTAGTTTTGCTAGACAAGCATAAAAGGAAATGAGAAGAAAGTTTGTAACACAAACTTTTTACCATATTAACTTTGAAAGTTCAGACTTTCTACCCAGGTATGGCAAAGCACAGAACTAAGACTAAGATCCCCTTTCTGCTTAAAGAGTAAGTCATCCAAAAAACATGTTCATTAGGCCATTTCTCTCCCAGCACCTCCTGCAGTATTTATTCTTTCACCTCTTCCCAGGCTCCCTGCCCCACTTCCAGCTCACAGAGGTCTTCCTGTTCAGTTATCCATTGATCACTGGAAGCTCTCTCTTATTAAGTAGTCAATTTCCTAATGATGGCCCCATGCCCCAGTGTTACTTAACCCACTCCCTGCTTTTGCCTTCCCTCTCTAACTGCATTTCTCTATCAAACTGCAACACCCTCTCTGCTACAGCAGCCCACTTCCCCCCACTTCATCTTACTGTGACATGCAATACATTAATTTATCACTTCCAGGTTTATAAAGATTTGAATTTGTGACCCCCAAAGACTTCCAAAGATCTGCTCACACAAACAAGATAGAAATTATTTACACTATATATGGTGAGCAGCCACCTTACTTGTCTCTGCTCCAACAGAGGGACAAAACCACATAAGGTACTAGCAGGCACAGAAACAAATAATCCTTACCAGTAAACTGGGTCTAGCTCTGCTGAGTAAAGCACACCCTCTCATAGCTTCTTCCTGCTTGCTGAAGGCATACATCAGCTCAGCTCTGCACACACAACAGTGTAAACACATGCTCGGACCCTGTCTCT